GCTCTAGTGAAAACTTAATATGTAAAGAGCATGTAGACAAATACCTCGACCTGGGCTCGCCGAGATGAAAAAAAAATAATCAGAATTTTCTAAAGGGCAGAAGAAAAAAACTACAAAAGGAAAACAATGGAAAAGATAGCAAGAATCCTGTCGGACAAGAGGTTCATATATTAGCTCAGTCGCTTGAAAGGAAGGATAATCCAGAGTGCCACTGTACCACTTTTGAACCTATTGGACCAGGCTGCATTCCCGCTGCACGGAAAGGCACTCAAGCTGAATCACAGTACACACGATCAGTATGCTTGCGAGGCTACAAAACACACTATACCAGAGGTTGAACGCAACACAGACCTGCACCAGTCGGCTATGGTGCCCGCTCGCGCACACTTGGGGTCATAGGGGCTTACTGAGACTCGAGACACGGGTATACGAACATCCTTCAGAAAAATGAGGTAGAGTTGGTCACTGCAAAGACGAAAAAAAATACAAGAAACAGCCCAGAACCCGAGAAACAGACCCCTTCTCATTGATTTTCCGACTGATGTGACTATCATCACTGCTACCCTTTTCAACGCTGACGCACTCTCTACTAAACGGCCAGAGTCAGATGGCGTATGGCCCTGCTACGCCGCTGGGTGCATACTCTTCGCTGCGGATCATAAAACACCCTTCAAGCCCACTCGATTTTCGACTAGGTATATTTCCCCTTCCTCGACCTCTGGCCTTATTGTGGATCCTTGTCCTCATGGAAGAGTAGGACGAGTAAGTAGAAAGATCTGAGGATGGCGATATTTGTTTTTTTACAAAAACAATCGAGCTAAAATACTGTTGACGACCGCTGAAGCAAATGTGAACAAAACTTGCTTTTTCAATGTCATTCCACGTCCTATGAGTCAAAATTCCTACTATACCCCTGAGCAACTTCTTCGCATCGGTCACTGATGAGATAATTTTGTCCCAATTGTGTATAGTGAATTCACCACTAAAATCCACACTAATAAATTGAGACAGTTACTCCAGTGAATCGCTCTGGCTCCACGTAGCCGAAAACGACAAAAGCGCGATATCGTCCATGTATTAAGTATGAACGAATCAGTATAGAAAATCTAACGTTTTCTCAAACAACCTTGACTTCTCTGAATGGCAGGCGTTGGAAGTGGTTGGTTGATCGTATCCTTAAGATGCATGGTTGTGCAGTCTGCTTGCACAGTGGCCGTCGGCGTGCCCTCAGTAGACAGAAGAGTTGTAGGACAAGCTGTCACCACATTTGTGAACTGCACCAACGGAATGCTTTGGGTACGAGGTCGGGATCCGGTCGCCATTGCAATATCACCAATCACTGCTCTGAAACACATTCTTTTAAGCAGTTAGGTTACTTATCATAACAAATTACATTAGAACATATTAAAATTAAAACCAAAAGAGAGCAGGCAATAGACTTGGTGCACAGAATCTACGAAAACGCCTTACCGAAAGTAACAGAAGCAGTTACACTTCGTAGCTACCTCCTGTGCGGCACTACAGAGAGATAGAGAGAACAGAGAGGGAACTGCAAAAAAAATTGAAAGGCTACTAACATTGTCCCTTCAGATGCGGTCGCTGGTAGAGGTACCGTCGACAAATTTGCTGCGGGAAGTGGAGGAAGCTCTAGAGCAGGTGGGCCCATCACCAAAGTCACAGGATGCAGTTCACCCCTGAAAGCACTGAGTGAAAAAGTTGTATTTTCACAGACTATACTCGTGGTGAATTCTGCTATGGCAGAAAATCTTTTTATAGAAAAGTCTCAACGAGAAAAATCCAATATTTTCTGGTGCACGCGAGCTTGCGGGCAGACACCTAATGGTGAGCTCAAGAAGCGTAAAAGGAAGTCAAGTGCAACTTCTATGGCGACTCGGTTTTCCGCGAGTTATTTTTAGCATTTCCATGTCCTCAAACTACACAATACACTTATTTATCGAATCGCCGAATCGCTAATTATTATTATCATGAATTTCTCGGAAGTTAATAATTATGATTGAAAAAAGTTGAAAAGCAGTGAAGGACGCATGAAGAACGGCGTCGTCAAGGTATAATGGAAGAAAGTTGCTTACAATTCAAAGACTTGTCGTCTCTGGTATCACATCTAAAGTTTTGCACATAGTAGAGTATCATTGATGAAGTAATCCTATTTCGTTCTTTTCTTTATATATTATTCTATTTTTATCTTATTCTAATTTGCGCGGCTGCATTTTTTATTCTTCTTAGCATTCATAACAAATGTGCTTGAGGTAAAAATAGTAATTATCTAAATTTAAAAATTCTTATAGAGCGTGGCTACCCGTTAATAGGTTGGAGCATACCTCTCATCGAGTACTGAAGAGGCAACTGTGTATGACACATGTCCAACACCACCATCTTCAAAGTCGTCTTCATCGAGCAGTGTCAGTGGAGCAAGGCGGCTAAAAGGATAATTAAATGTGAAAACATTGAATCGCAAGCAAAAAAAACCTTACTTTATAATTTCATTTCGCTTCATCATCAATTGTTCGGTATCTACCGGCTGGTCCATTGTGTGCGAGATGACGACAGCACTGGTGGAGGAACGGTCAACTCCGGTCGCTGAGCACTTGACCAGACAAAACCACTTTCAGAAGGTGGATCAAAAGTATACACCGCAGGAGGCCTCAAATACGGGCACTAGGATTGCATAACGAATCACTAAAACGAGGAATGGACTCACGGGTGCATCCAAAATTGCGGGTGAGGATGACTGTGCGAACTGTTAAGATGAGGTACAAACATAGTTCCAGGTGGAGGTGGATGTGCGTTCCATAAAGAATGGTGATGAGGAGATGCGGAATGAATTCCATTTGGCGATGTTGGATGTGAAGCGGTATTACTTAGAACCATTCCGCGTCGAGGAATGCCAGCTGGTAGCTGAAAATTCAAGAAGGCATCGAAATGCAGTGATATTCCATTTTTCTGATTGAAAATTTCAGCACTGCGGTTTACTGCCGATATCGGCTACCGGTTCATTACGTTATACGTGTGAATGCTGATAAGCTATGGTAACTTTACCATCGAAGCTGAGTTGGGGTGAAATGGTGCCCCGGTGGTGTAACTGGTAGCACAATTGCCCGGAAAGCAAGAGATCCGGGTACGAATCTTGCTGGGGACGAAAGTTTTGCCCACAACTCAACATTCTTGTTCGAACTACCTTACTTCAAGGACTACCATAAATTGGTAAATGTAACGAGGGATGAAGTATCGAGACCCCCTTGAAGAGGAGGAGGAAGATATCGTAAAACTTTCGATCTGGCGGCGGTTGACCCTAGCTGTAACCATATGTAAATAGACAGTGGTAGTAATGCTTTGTGGTTGACTTCTTCAGCGTATCTTAAGCAATTTTGTTATAAACTTAGACCTTGAGCTTAGTGCTGTGATCAGGTATGGCGCTGGTTTTAAAAACGTCGCTTCAGATGACTGATTATCTTCCATAAATAGGGGTATGGCAGGTGGCGCAAGACTCGCTTAGAATGGTGGCGGCACTAAAACCAGCGCTGTGTTCGTGAGTAGGACCTTCAATTACTCCTGTAGCTAAAATTTCAACTAAAAGTCTTCCTTCTCACACGGGCTATCGCGGACCAATGTCGAAGACGACTACAAGGGAGCACTACCAGTAAAATGGTCAAAATCTCGATTCGACTAGAAAATTGTCGTTAGAGGTAGATCAACTCTCTGAACACAAATATCATCCTCCATAGCGTGAAAACGCCTTATACGTGCGCTGCATCCGTATGCCGGAGTGCCATAGACTCGACCAGGGTCAACCGTGCGTTGCGCAGACTTCAAAATTTTTACGACCCCTCCCTTCGGAGATTGCTGTACGACCCCCTGCATTGCCATTATGTCCTTTTGCATATTTTAGGTCTATGATCGGATGTGTGGGCGTCACCGACATGGAGTGCTGTTGGGCAGTGGTAAGTCCGCGCAATTTCCAT